CTCGTTTTCTCCACGGATCTTCACTACGAGGACACATTCTAGACCCACAACTTCTTTGTTCGACGCTCGAAAATTCTATTGAGCTATCTGGGTCAACTCCTTTTCTCCTTTTCTCCACGGATTTTTTATATGAAGACACCTTTGAGACTCGCAACTTCTTATTTGACCACCCGAAAATTCTTTGAGCTATCTGGGTCAACTTCTTTTCTCCACGGATCTTCACTAAGACTCACAACTTCTTTGTTCGACACCCGAAAATTCCATTAAGCCAGTTCAATAGAGCTGATCAACACCTCCGAAACTGAAATGATCTTCATGTTAATTAGTCAACATCGGTTCTCGAACATAGTTAGTCTAGAAGAATGTTTGGTGATGATTATTCAAACCATCCCATGCATGAAATGATGAGGTAATGGGAAGGGTAGCTTTAAGGTGAAAAAGTTATTATAGCGTGTGATAAAGAAAAGATGTTGAAGAAGGAAGAAGGAAGGGAACAAAAAGCTTAGCTTAATTTGTTGGGAAATGAAAAGGCTCCAAAAGCTGCATTCCTTCCTTTCTGTCGGCTCTATACCTCCCTCCCCCTCTTATCAAACTTTGAACATCATCTTTCTCCCTTTGCGTCTTTTCATGCCATCCCGACCCCCACAGTAAGTATAATATTGTCCATTTTGAGCATAACCGCTCGTGTCTTTGCTTTAGGCTTCTCCAAAAGACCTCGTATTACTTACTTATAAACCCATGATTATTCTCTAAATTCTCACAGGAATCTCTTCCAATCCCACGCGCGCCAAAAGATAGCACCATGACACAAAATGGAAGCCTCCATTCTACGGCGGCCACTCCCGGCGGTGTCGGTGTCGGTGGCATTGGAGGCTGCAGGCAACTGATGATGAACACCGCCCCCATCGCCGCTACCACCACAACCGCGACAGTTACAACAATAATGCACCAAGATGATGGGGTTGAAGGATTAGAAGAATCAGAAACCCTACAACTATTTCCATTGTGCAGTGAGACAAGAAATGGTGGGTGTGAAACAGTGGGAAGCTCAGGGATGAACAGTGCTAATGTGATGACTCCACTTCAGTTCTTTGAATTCCTTCCATTGAAGAATTGATTAAGGCATGAAGAAGTGATTTACCAAAGCTTTAAAGTTTGTTCTTTCTGTTTATGTAAGTTGATTGATGAATAGTTTGGTGAAATGTTTCTTTTCCTTTCCCATTTGGGCTTTCAATTTCGTGTTTTAGTCACAGTTTTATATCGGGTTGATTCTCAACGCTCAAATATCAAATATTTATAAGTTACAATGCACTGTTTGCGTAAACATATGTTACAAACGTTTAATATTCTTAATCTTCGTAATAATCTTAAAAGTAGGTTGAGTTTTAGTTGTAGATTATATTTTTAGATTGGTCGGGTTGACCCAAATAAAAAAGTTCCAATCTAACCTATATTGAAAGAAAATCCAACCGAGCTGTCCAAATTGTTTGAATCATTGGTCGCTAAAAAGTTGAGTTTTTTTTTTATTGGACAGAGTTGTGAGCTTCTTTAGGTTTTAGTGCACTAAGGTAGACCTATGATTATTCTTAGAATTTTTTATTGGATCCAGTAGTAATGACTCTAGAACGAGACATTATAACTTATCATGCCTCGTATTTTGATAGAGTTGTGGAGCTTCTTTAAACTTAAAAGATGATTCTCGATATAATTGAAACATACCCTAGAAACCGATCTTACAAATACTTTTCATCACTATGAGATCCCACATCGGTTGGTTGAACAGGGGAACGAAACATTCCTTATAAGTGTGTGAAAACCTCTCTCACCCTAGTAAACACATTTTAAAACCGTGAGACTGACGACAACACATAACAAGCCAAAACGAACAATATCTACTAGCGGTGAATGAATTTGGACGGTTACAATCCCATTTCACCGTGCAACTTAAACAATTATTTTGTTTGAAAACCCTAATGAAATGAGTTGAATGGGTAATTAATGTAAAATGCAGGGTTGAGAGATGCAAAGGCCATAAAAATGAAGGAATTAAAGAAGGGTGTAAGAAGAAAAAGAGAATGAAAGAAGAGAGGGTTTAAGTGAATTTATGAGCGATGGCAGAAGGAAGTAAGGCAAGAGGGGGTGCGGTGTGGCAGTGTGGTTGGGCCATATAAATCTGAAATACAACAACAGTAGAAAGTGACAAGACTTGAGCTTGGTTTGTTTGTTTGGACACATAATAACATCATATTCACACAAACCCCACCACAAGTTTCCCCTTAATGCACTCACTTAGACCCACCATTGTTACATCCCTTTCCTCTCTCTCTCTCTCCCTCCCTCCTTGTTCTTCGTCATCATCACCTCATCATCGACCTTTCGTTATGATATATATTCTCGACCAAAACGTCAAAAGTTCAAATTTTTACGTTGGTTTAACAACTCTTTCGAGTTTCATTCCCTTTCGAGCTTCCCCTCAAGGTTGTAGCCTAACGTCCTCGTTGACACATCGCCTGGTGTTTGGCTCTGATATAATTTGTAACAACTTAAGCCCAATGTTCTTGTTATCATACTGGTTTGTGTTTGGATCTGATACCATTTATAACAACCTAAGCTCACTACGGGTAGATATTGTCTTTTTTGAGCTACCCTTTTGGACTTCTCGTGAAGGTTTTAAAATGTGTCGGTTGAGGAGAGGTTTCCATACCCTTATAAGAAACGTTTCGTTACCCTTTCTAACCGAATGAGATCTAAGAGTAACTTCTTATGATGGGTTGTACCTATTTCACAACTCGAACAATTTTTTAGTATCTATATAGTAAGTCTACTTCTAGATGAGTGTTCTCTTATTCCGACTTTTATAGTGCCTATAGTAGCATAACCGAGTCAAGAATAAGCGATCTTCTGTCATTTCTTGTGCTTCCTGGGCCTGGAGGAGGATTCTTCTTGGGCCACTAAAGAGCCCAAGGTCCAAACCTAAGCCCAAACCCAAGTGTATAGCTTATCTTGAGAAAGTTCTTTCTAGGCCCAAAGTGGAAGCCCACTAACAAATTATTTTTCCTTTTATTATTTCTTTTGTATATATATATTTTAAATTATTTAAAAAGAAAAAATCATGAGTCTGTCGTCTGGGTGAAACAGTCGAATAAACGACAACAATTTTAATAGAAGAATCTCTTTTTCGACGACGTTAGCTTTGGTGTCGGCCCCAGCTTAGAGAGACATTTTCTTTAGTTTAAAAAAAGAGAAGGGTAGAAATGGAAATGTGGCCTTAACTTTGTTCGAGTGCGGTGATCAGTAGCAGAGCCGTTGCACATTCAGATCCAAAAAGTGGAATAAAGCAATGTAAACCGTTGATGTGAAAAGATCGAAGGTTTGTACTCATTTTGCGCCATACGTGTGTACGGTGCTTTCTTTACCCAACATTTACCTAACTCACACGTGTCAATATTACAGCTGTTATTAATATCATCATTCAATTATTTCTAAATAAATTCTCAGCATTAAATGTTTCATTAGCTCAAAGAAGAATTCAAAAAAATTTTGAATTTTGATAATATTTGTCTCTTCCTAAAAAAAAATGCACTAATTTATCATATTCTTTTAATCATTCTGTAACTGTCCGAGTCCACTCCCACTGCCAGCAAATATTGTTCTTTTTGAATTTTCCTCATAAGTTCTAGTTCAAAATTTTCCTTTTTGTTCCTCTCTCGAACTGGTGTGTGATCTCACAATCTATTCCTTTGGTGCCCAGTGTCATAGTCGTACTTTTTCAATCATGCTGCGACGTGATCTTAACACACTTCCAACCAAATTTGAAGAGAACTCAAGCCCCATATATATATTCTTCGCCAACTGAATATCACTTGTGCATAATCCAAGCTTGTTCAAGCACACACACGCATCTGCAGGTGCATATTTAATCGTCTACCACACAACTGACTTGCCTCTACACTCAGTCAAGGTCCGACAAAACCACAAAGTCGAAGGAAAAATATATATAGAGCATAAATTCTTCTTTAGGTTAGTCATGAACATGTTAAGATCACGATGCTGCACAATTGAAAAAGTACGATCGTGACAACCGGCCGTTAATTAGTTTCTTCCCTCTTTCTCAATATCAACATTCTTCTCATTCATATAAAGCACAAATCAAATAGCTATGTATGAGTCTAATGAAGGATTATCACAAACTAATGGAAGAACTTCAAGAATTCATCCAGAAATTGAAGGGGGGAAATGCAAACTTTTGGTTCTCGAGGAAGAATCTAAATGGGAAGCACCCATTAATTGGATCATTGAAGAAAGTGAAATGCTTTAAAGTTTGAACCATATCTCTTTACATACTTTATTATAAAAAAAACACTATTTTGGTCTCTCTTCTTGCTGCATTTCAAAACCTTTATTAGTGATTAAAGTAAGTTAAAAATGCAATGTTTTTACATACTTAGATGAGACTTAATGGTTGTGACATTTTACACCAGGATCATTTGAAGTACGTGCGTCAAAAAAACTGAGTCACAGCCAATGTTTTTCTAACATTGTTGCGAGGAACGTTCAAATTCGATGATTTCATTGACACCCAGCACCAAAAAATAGTTTTTCTTCCGACCAACGTTCGTTCGACCGACGACGACTCATCGCTTGCATTTTAGTCCTAAGAACGCTCTAGAATAGGCAAATGTTAACCAAAAGGAAACGGTTGATTCCCTTGACATGTGAACCAGTTCCTTTTGTGTAAGATCGCGCACAACCAAACCAAACCAAACCAAACCCTCTTCCACTGCTTCTGACATCTTTGGGAACTGGGCAGCTTTGTCCATAAAGTCTCCATTTTTACTCATAAATGACTAATATCAATGCTCAAATAATGTCACTTCTTCCCATTCAATTATACAATTTTCAAAAAAGCCTCCAACCCATTTCAGCTTTCCTCGCTAAAAAGTTTAGATTTCAAGTGCTGCATGTCGAGGATGGTTGAGAGAAAAGTTTTACGTCCGTTAATTAATGAGTTGATCATGAATTTACAAGTGAGGAATACATCTCTATTGGTACGAGGTCTTTTTGGACTATGCCTAAACTGGACAATATCAAACCATCTTCTCTATTCTTACGCTCTGTTTCTCTATATAAACCCTCAACCCCAACAATTCTTTATATTCAGCTATCAGTCATGAAGGTCTCTCTGGGATCCGTGGTTACGCTCACTCTCTACACTCTCCTGACTGCCCACATTTCAGGTAACTAAATGAAGTTTTGGGGTTCTTATTTTGTTCAATGTGACTCTAAATCCAAGGCTTTTCTTCTTTGATTTCTCACAGTTTTGGTCTCCGCCACTACAATAACGCTTTACAATAAATGTTCTCACCCCGTTTGGCCTGGCATTCAGCCAAGTGCAGGCAAGCCTTTGTTGGCTAGAGGTGGTTTCAAGCTCCCACCCAACAAGGCTTACTCTCTGCACCTTCCACCTCTCTGGTCTGGCCGCTTCTGGGGCCGCCATGGCTGTGCATTCGACGCATCTGGGCGAGGCAAGTGCGCTACAGGGGATTGTGGGGGAGCCCTTTTCTGCAATGGCATTGGCGGCACACCACCAGCTACTCTTGCTGAGATTACACTTGGAAATGACCAAGATTTTTATGATGTAAGCCTTGTTGATGGCTATAACTTAGCCATTTCCATTACTCCTTCGAAAGGCTCAGGGAAATGTAGCTATGCTGGGTGTGTTAGTGACCTTAACATGATGTGTCCTGTTGGTTTGCAAGTTAGATCTCATGATAACAGGAGAGTGATGGCCTGTAAAAGTGCTTGCTTTGCATTCAATTCTCCAAGGTATTGCTGCACAGGCAGCTTTGGGAACCCACAATCCTGCAAGCCGACTGCTTATTCTAAGATCTTCAAGGCTGCATGTCCTAAGGCATACTCTTATGCTTATGATGATCCTACTAGCATTGCTACTTGTACTGGTGGAAACTATTTGGTCACTTTTTGCCCTCATCACGGTTAGAAAGAACAACATTTCTCTCTGCTTTTTCTGTTGTATATGCTACTTCTGGATAGGAGTTTATGAGGTTTGTATTGGCTTTTACTGATGCCAAGTTCCCAACTTTCTCTAGGAATTACTGGGTTTTGGCTTGTAGTAATGGGTGGTTTTGGTTATTTTGTGGTAATGGTTGGACTATCAATATGAGTTTAAAGGAACTAAGAAGCTCTAACCCAATGTTGCAATTTTCAATGCATTTGGTTGAATTATAAACATAAATATGGAACAAATATGATCTAAATCATACTTGATACTGTTGTTCTTTGGTTCAAATCTGTAAAACGTTCTTTGGTTCAAATCAGTAGTTTTACAGTGGAGATTGAGTAAGGTCACATAGGATGAAGTTGAAACAATGGAGAGAAGCAAGTTTAGAGGTAGAAATTAAGCGTATGTTATTGTAACGACCCTAATTTTCTACTAACCTAGAGTCGTTAGATACTGGATGGTGTGAGATACCACATTGGGTAGAGAGGGGAACAAAATATTTTTTATAAGGGTATTAAAACCTCTCCCTAACAGATGCGTTTTAAAACTGTGAGGCTGACAACGATACGTTACAGGCTAAAGTTAAAACTGTGAGGCTGACAACGATACGTTACAGGCTAAAGTTAAAACTGTGAGGCTGACAACGATACGTTACAGGCTAAAGTGGACCATATCGGCTCTAGTGTGTTACAATTATGGACTTAGAAGTGAATTGAAATACTCAGTTAAGATCTTTACCCCACCTTGCCCCCACTGGGCTTAAATGGAGGGTATCTGATACAAATTAAACCAGAGAAAATATCTGAAAGAGCTCCAGCTCTACCAGCTACTTAACAGTAGTTTGTCTGTCCTGCGTGGGGCTGGGGCCAAGAAAAGAATCTTCAGTACAAATCAGTTCATTTTCAGTGGCTCCCGAAAGAAGAGACTAATAAGAGGAGCAGGTAGCCCACTCTTTATGGAGATCTTGCAGTTTAACTTTCAAGGGTCCGGTGCTATCTCATCTTTTTGAATGCTTCAAAGCTCAATCAGTTCAGCCAAAGACTTCGATCTTCATTCCATCTTTTGCTGCCCTTTTGCCATAATGGAACATAGTGGATTCACTTAAAATTTTGTCTGATCAGCTTGATGACTTAAAATTTTGTCAGATCAGCTTCACGATTTTAAATCGTAACTATTAGGAAGAGATTTCCACCCTTTATAAAGAATGTTTCGTTCTTCTCTCTAACAAACGTGAGATTTCACAGATAGCAATATTGAACTCAATTTCCAACCATTCAATTAAAATCAACAATCAATACTTACAAATACAATGTAGGTTTTGTAATCGATGTATAAATCGTAGAGGAAGTGGCAAGAACGGCAATGAACAAGTGTAGTCGTGTCGTGAGCCCTATTCAAACTAATGAAAACAAGAATTCTACCATGACCAAATGCTAGCCCATCTTCAATCTATCACTGGTTTCTCCCTTGCTTGTTCTATTCCTTGCACAAATTGTAAGTAACTTCAGCCAATAGATGGGATAGACAACATGAATTCCTGAATAAACATATATAATAGAGTCCTAAAATAGTATGATATTGTCGACTTTGAGCATAAACTTTTATGGCTTTGCTTTTGGTTTCTCCAAAATGCTTCGTACCAATAGAGATAGTGTTCCTTATAAATTCATGACTTTCCTCTTAATTAGATCATGTGAGACTACTTCTCTCAATAATCCTTGGCACAAATGTTAAATATTATTAATTTTATTTACGTGCTTTTATCATAAATGATGTGTACGGATGTTTGGCGTTATTTTAAATCTATAATATAGCTGACGCATGCATAAGCAAGCAAATGCTCTATAATTCAAGTAATGCAGATGGCCAAGTAAATATGTAAAATAATAAGCGTCTAGAAGATAAGATATTCCTTCTCACCAGTTTAGCCCATCCCGGGGAAGATTGCGGCTGTAAAACGGAAATTCAAATAGAAAAATTTTCTTGAACCACGAGGGCAGATTTGCGTATATTGCGGTAGGCAGTGGGATGAGGGGGCTGGAGTAGCAAGTAAAAAAGATAATTACTTTTACCATATAGATGTTAAATTAGTTGGTGTGTAAATAATGAATGAAAAAGTAAAAAGAACTCAACCTGGTCTTTCTTTTATACTGTACATATTCAGTCACATTTCCGAACTTCTTATCTGCTGATTCCTGTTAATACAAAACATACCAATAAGATGAAGTAAGATTTGCTGATAAATTGGAATGGGGAGGAAAGCAAACCTCGAGGAGAGGGATCCCACTGACGAAGAGAAGCAACAATGTGAGGAAAATTGGCCCAAGTATCACAAGCCACTCAGCACCTTCCAGAACGGGTGTGGAAGCAACGAAGATTCCCCACCAAAGAAAGATCTGTTATCACCATTGATAAGAGTGTTCGGTTTAAAAGGCTGAAGAAAAGAAATAGTTATCTGAACTCTTAGCCAAAGCCACTACTCGCACTACTCGCAGTATTGTCCTTTTTGGACTTTTCCTTTTGGACTTCCCCTCAAGATTTTGAAACGCACTGGTAAGGGAGAGGTTTCCACACCCTTATAAGGAATACTTCGTTTCCCTCTCCAACCTAGTGGGATCTCACATCTTGAATGGTTGACAAACAATTGACATATATGCAACTCTGAGGTAGAAATATCTCGCAGTACAAGAAATCAGTGCAGCTACACAATATTGATCACAACCACCAAACTTAAAAATTAGTCGCTTCCTCAAAGGGGAAGAACAAGTTCTTCATCACTAAGTGTCAATATTTTAGCTTATCAAAGGTTTATATCTTTAACATTCTTTCCCTTGAGAAAAAATAAAGAAAAAGGCTATCCAAGAAAATATCCATTTCATTTGAATGTTTTAGAAAAAGCGAGCAAGCAACTACTCTTTGTGAAGGAGAATGCCAATCTTTAACTTGACCTAGCAGCTAGTAAGCAAGTCAATTAAGAGGAAGATTATAAAGTCGAGTGAGTGTTTGCTAATACTAATCAAAGAGTCCTCAGTGCGGAACAAGAAATTAAGATATAAATGGATGACTTAACTACTTGGAATATCGAACAAATATTTCTAAGTAAACAAGGAACATATGAACAAATACTTTTGGCAGTGACCTAACCTCACCAAAGTAATTAGGATGACGAGTGACCTTCCAAAGTCCAACATTGCACCACTTCCCCCTATTTTCTGGATTGTTTTTAAATGTCAGCTTTTGTTGATCAGCTGTAGCTTCGAATACAACACCCACTAACCACATAATCCACCCAATTACATCCGCAGCTTGGAGAGGTGGATTGTGATTGCTTCCATTGACCACTGTGACAGGTAAACTCACGGTCCAGACCCAAACAGCCTGAATTAATAAAAAGGTGAGCTAGATAGGATCGTGTGAATAATAAAATAATAATCCAACCCACCTGAAATATCCAGAAAACTGCTAATTTCCCCAAATTACTACGCATTTCATCAAAACGCCGGTCCTCTCCCCATTGCAAAATCCTGAGGGGCACTTAAAGAAACATAAGAAACTACACTAAGCAATTGTTTTAAAATTGCTGTCCATCAATATTGTCCTATTGTGTGAACGTATCAATATACATTTCCTTTCTATTAACTAAAGTCGGTTTGTTTTTCTGTCAAAATGAAATGACAAGAACTCATCCCATGGACAAAATTTTATGATTTCCATGCAGTATAATTGATCATTTGTTTAATAGTTGAACTTTACTCGACCATCATTATAGCTAAAGGCGTAAGTTTCAGAAACTATCTCAGCCCATTTTCTAATCTCAAGAATTAAATCTCCTCTCCCTTCTTCAAATAGTGCCCCATATTTCACCGGTAATAATAATGAGAATCAGAGGAAATAATGCTTGATTTCCATATATCCACACAAAATTACTAGTTTAGTTGGAGTTGGAGTTGGAGTTCTTACATTAGTATAGTTATAATTTTGTAAATATGTTAATCGTGTTGTCATTTATTGTCTTTTTATCTTCTCCTACTTCGGTTAACCTCGTAAGCTCGTATATATATCTTATTAGTAAATGACAGAGCATTTTGATTGTCTAAAACCTTTAGCATTTACAGTTGTTTGTAAATAACTAGGCAACAAACATTATCGCACAAATGAAATGTGAATATGAATTGAAGAGCTATCTATGGTCAAACAGTTTTACATACCTCATTAGCAGGAAAAAACCAAGACGAAGACCCCATGCCACCACAAGAAATGACAGAACAACCTGGATAAATAGAACCATAAGTTCATTTGTGGGCATACAGGTTTACACCAATGACTTGATTAAAAATTTTCTATTACTGAACAACTTCTTTTTATAGTTTATCCAGTTTGGAGACAGCAAGAAGAGAACATGAAACGCATGAGCAGCACAAAATGCCAACAATGAAGTACGCGTAAAAGGAACTCCTAAAAAGTATCTTCAGTCACTTGGGAAATCAAAACTATAAGTTTAATCCAAGCACCCATTATTTTCATAGCTTCTCGAACCATGACGGCAGGAATTGTGAGATCTCATATTGGTTGGAGAGGGGAATGAAACATTCTTTATAAGGGTGTGGAAACCTCTCTCTAGCAGACGCGTTTTAAAACCTTGAAGGGAAGCCCGGAAGGAAAAATCCAAAGAGGACAATATCTGCTAGCAGTGGGATTGGACTGTTACAAATGGTATCAGAGCCAGACACCGAGCGGTGTACTAGTGTCTAGCGAGGACGCTAGGTCCCCAAGAAGTGGATTGTGGGATCCCACATTGGTTAGAGAGGGGAACGAAAAATTTCTTATAAGGGTGTGGAAATTTGTCGCTAGTAGAACACATTTTAAAACTTCGAGGGGAAGCGCGGAAGGAAAAACCCAAAGAGGACAATAATTACTCGTGGCTAGGTTTAGAAACTCCTAAGGTTGAAGTAATTGCAACGCAGATTGGATTGCAATAAAGCAAAACTTATTTACAGAATCAAACAGCATTCATTACCTGTCTAAAATGCCAGCTACCCTTAAGAACTAGCGTCAAAACAGCAATTATCACAAAATTTGTGCTGCCTGAAAATCAGAAACTTCACAAATTAGCATCAAAACCAAACAGTAGTACACAGCATATGAAACAAACAAAAAAAAATTCATACGGCACCGCCGTCTCTCAGCACCTAAACGACCAACTTACTATGCAATTCTGAATCAATTTTTTGAAGTTTGTTCTATCCAAAACTTCAAATTTCTTCTGTACGGCCTCATTCCACTCATGACAACAAAATTCAAAAAACTAAAACATAAAATAAATTACGTTCCATCTTTGGAACTAATTCCAGCTATTGCCTTTCTCTTATTTCTCAGCAACACGAATCTAAATTCTTGACAAAAGGAGGAGAACGAAAGTAACTAACTACATACCAGCAAAATCAGTGACTTTGTCGAACTTGAGAAGAGCTGTGACTATAAAGAACAATAGTTGATATCCAATCTGGAAATCGCACGATTAGAGTCAGAAAGTGAAGAAAGTTCCAAGATAGAGTTGGAAATTCAGAGAGCATGAAATCTTACAGTGACAATGGCAGTAAGCGCCAAGAAACGGGAGTCGAGCACAGTTGCCATGAAGCTGTCGACGGCGAAACACTCAGAAATTCAGATGTTCATGTGGAATGAGATTCATGTTTGGTTAAACAAGAATTTAGCAACGGGAGAAGTCAAAATATTTTCTGGCCAGGATTCGAACAACACGACGGTTGTATTAACCAATCCTTTGTTTTGACATCTTCTCGCCGTCCCCGCCATTTCCCCTACTTTTCCCCTAAAGGTTCCTTGCTTCAATTCTCTTCCACACTATTTTTATTTATTTATTTATTATTTTTGCATAGTATTATCTTTAAAAAAAAAAAAAAATCTAATAAATCGTAACAAATATTATTTCAAATTAAAAATAAAATTAAATTTGAGTCGAGAAATAAAGTAAAGTTTAAAGATAAGTTTTATAGTTAAGCTATGGAGTCTGTGACTTATTTATAGTTGAGTGAATAGTAAAACTATAAAGTAAATTATTGGTAAACAAAGGTTATATCGATAAAACTATACAGGGTAATATCTAGTAAAGCTATATATATATATATATACACACGCATAGTTTTGAAAATGTACTTTTTATATTGTCTGTATTTTCTTTTACGGTACATATATGTACTCATCTTTAGCCAATATTCTCCTTGCATTTTCTCTATCATGTTCTTTGTGTACATCTAGATCGAGTGTGTGCGTTGTTGTGCGATCCTAACATCTAAATCGGATGGGTGTTGGCTAGTCTTTAGATCGGATCCCCCTAAAAACCGTATGTGCAGGTCTCCCCAATGCAGCTCACGAAAACATAGGTTTATATCTCAACCATTATTCATAGTATAATACTTTATATTTACGATTGGAACCACGTCATGCAGTCATGTTGCAGGTGATGCAGTCATTAGGTGTCGAATTTAGATTTCAAATGATGGTTTGAATCTTCAAACATTGCTATAATGAAATGAAAGGATCCCTGTTGTCCTCTATATTTCCATGAATACAAGGCAGAAAAAGGGGAAAGAATGGTGTGCTGTGTAGCTATATGCATCCAAGAACAGCTCAAGCAGCTGCAATGGAAGCCTCATCAATCTCAACTACATACTCTAATGTTGCAAATGGAGGAATTCGAAAGCCAGTGCCTAAATCAGCACCTTTTTCTCCAAACCCCAAATCATAAGGAATTATAACTCTCCTCCTACCGCCTGGTTTCATGGATCTCACAACATATTCCAAACCTTCACACATTCCTTTGCAGTAAGGTCTTGAGCCCATCACCATAGCCAATGCCTTCCTCTCATTCTCAAATGTATCTACAAATATGTCATTACTGTCTTGTACTTTCCCTTTGAGATCAATCACAACGAGGTCCCCGGACCTCGGTACGGTGCCACGGCCGACCCTCGTCTCGTAGTACCTGTTTTGGATCATCAAAGTTTATAGAACTAAGAGAGTCAGATAGTGGGGAATGTGGCCAAGTTAAGATGTATGTTAGATGTGCACCTTATGCCATTTTGTAGGACTACTTCCTCTTCCTTTTCAACGTTTCTGCAGAATGCAATGCATCTTGTTATTGGTAAAACAAATCATATTTTAAGAGAATTCGTTCATGTTCTACGTGTTGAGGATTGTTCGGAGAGGAGTCCATATCGGTTAATTAGAAGGGTTGATCATGGTTTATAAATAAGGAATACATCTCCATTGGTACGAGGCCTCTTGGAGAAACCAAAAGCAAAGCCACAAGAGCTTATGCTCAAAGGGGAAAATATCATATCATTATGGAGAGCCATGCTTCCTAACATGTTATCTGAGTCATGCCCTTAACTTAGCCATGTCAATAGAATCCTCAAATGTCGAACAAATAAGTTGTGAGCCTCGAAGGTGTAGTCAAAAGTGACTAAAGTGTCAAACAAAGGGTGTACTTTGTTCGAGAGCTTCAGAGAATGAGTCGAGCCTCGACTATGGAGAGACTGTTTGAGAGTCTCATAGGCTTTAGGGGAGGCTCTATGGCGTACTTTGTTCGAGGGGAGGATTGTTAAGGATTGTTGGAAGAGAGGTCCCACGTTGACTAATTAAGGGGTTTATCATGAATTTACAAGTAAGGAATACATCTCCGAGGCTTTTCGAGGAAATCAAAAGCAAAACCATGAGAGTTTAGGCTCAAAGTGGACGAGATCACACCATTGTAGAGGTTTGTGGTTCCTAACACTGGGAAGTAGAACAATATCAGGACGGCATTCTCTTATTCACCAGAGCAACTTAACTGGTTTATGCTCATAACAATTCATAACAGGAAACGGACTTGTAATGATAAGGAAGTAACATGCTGAGAAGGGAAATGGGTTGAGTACCTTTTATTTGCTTCTTCTTGGGAAACTATACCAACGGCGAGAAAAGCAGCACAGGCAAGGCCAGCGCTGAGCCCATATCGCCTTGTCAAGGTTGAAGCACCCCATTCTGTAGCTTCTACATGAGTGGCAGGCCTCTGCTGCTCCACCTTTGATGGGGCTGGCTTTAGATGCTCTAATGAGGAAGTGCTCAGAGATGGAGATGGCGGCGGAGTTTGCTGTGGTTGAGTAGGTGGAGGCGTCTGTGAGGAAGCTAAGTGATAAGTTCTGGTAAGTGGGTGGGAGAGAAGTGCAGTTGATCCGAATAGAGAAGCCATGATCCAAACAGACAGAACAGCTGCAGAAAGATGCAACACAATATAAGATTTGGATGATAGTCCCTACCTTATCCATTTCTGTGATATTTACATGGTTCTACTATTCATCCATTTTGAAACAAAATTTTATATTTTCAACTCAAACTTCAACGAAAACAAATGATTGACATGTAACAATTGAAGTCCACCGCTAGCCGATATCGTCCTCTTTAGATTTTTCTTTTCGGGCTTTCCCTCAAACTTTTTAAAACACGTCTGTTAGGAGGAGGTTTTCACACCCTTATAAAAAAAAATACTTCGTTCCCCTCTCCAATAGATGTGGGATCTCACAATCTACTCTCTTCAGGGCCCAGCGTCCTCACTGGCACATCGTCCTTGTCCACCCCGCTTCGGAACTCAGCGTCCTCGCTAGCACACTGCCCTCTGTCTAGCTCTGATATCATTTGTAACAACTCAAGCCCACCAATAGCAGATATTGTTTCTTTGGGCTTTTCCTTTTGGATTTCCCCTTCAAACTTTTTAAAACGAATCTACTAGAGAGAAGTTTCCACACCCTTATAAAAAATACATCGTTCCTCAAAGTTTTTAAGCATATATACGAGCTTGAAGAGAGTTAACCAACCGATCACTCTAAATGCCTTGTTTCTCCATGCTCATTAATCCACCTGCAATTGTAGTAAAGACATAAACTGCAGCATTTTCCACTACTTTGGTTTCATTTTTCTACAACAAATATATATCCTGACAATGGGCATCTCTAAGGACATTGAGAAGCCACAAAGTTGGAAAAGAATTACAGTCTCAAATGAAGTACATCTTTTTCTCATATATGTCCAATACAATCAATAAACATGCTGCCTTCTTTGATGGAAACTCGACAAGATTCCCGACTCGGTAGGCTAGTATACTTGTTTGCTTATCCTAATGGGTCTTCAGCAACTTGCAATAATCGAGCCTTCGATCGACCACTGCCTGCAGAAGCATTCCGTCTCGGTACTTGAGAACTCAACATTGGCTTCTGCAGTGGCTTTAGTGCAGCCAAGATCTCGGCAAATGAAGGCCTTAATCTTGGATCTCTACAATTTAAAATGGATAAGATATCAGGTACTCATGTGTTACTACATATAGAAGGCAGATTAACCATGAGATTTCTAGGTCCTATTCGTTTGATAAGATACCGAAGTATAAGCAATCGCTTATGAACTTTATGTTCTGGGAGCTGTTAATAAGCTGTAACGATGGTTGATCACATTAGAATGCAATTAGCTAACAAGAACAATGGTGATCTCATGAGTAAAAAATTTCATTGAACAGTCACATATAGAGTTAACAGGATCTAGATCAGCCAGCAAATATTGCCCACTTTGGCCCGTTCGTATTACCGTCAGCCTCACGATTTTAAAACGCGTCTTTCTAGGGAGAGGTTTTCATACCCTTATAAAAGTGCCTAGTTGCCTCTCTAATCAATGTGGGATATCACAATCCACTCTCCTTGGGAGCCTAGTGTCATGGTCATGCTTGTCTAAAGCATGTTGCCTATGGCTGCATGGCGGATGTCCTGGTCTTGCTTGTCCAAGACATGTTATTCATGGTTGCATGTTTGTTCCAAAAAGCCCTTTTACATGCTCTCATCCTAGATAAACCTTTACCATTTCACGTTGGGTCAATAGGGGGGTGTATGACCGTTCACCAAAATCATGTCTACACCCATCAGGGCTAAAATGCCCCAAGATGTACTATAAGGGGTATGACTAGTTGTGGTATTTAAGCTGTGGTATTTCTTAATTTACTTATAGTCATATAATGTTGTTTTCTTCGATTCTTTAAACCGTTTTCAAATGTATTTCCTCGCACGCGTTTTCTAAACCTTTTCTCGCAACGTGATTTGAGGTCCGAACATACGCTGACGTTGTCCGCGACGTCCAAGTTTCTCACGGCTGACTTGTTCGCTTGGTTAGAACAAGTGTCGCACAATCGCTATCCCGCTATTGCAAGAGTGCGATTGTGACACCCAGCGTCCTCGCTGGCACACCGCCCGAAACTTGACTCTGATACCATTTGCAACCGTTCAGACACACCGCTAGCAGATATTGTCTGCTTTGGCCCGTTACGTATCGTCGTTAGCCTCACGATTTTAAAACGTGTCTTTTTAGGAAGAGGTTTCCAAACACTTATAAGAGTGTTTTGTTCCCCTCTCCAACCGATGTAGGATCTCACAGTGAGAGAGCTCCGTTCCCTGCTTACTACCCCACCCCACAACCCACAAACCACAACCCATAAACTTAACCTTACACCCATATGTGCATGCTTAAAATTGGAATGAGGCAAAATAAGAGTCTATTTCTTCTTTGAAGCAACAGTTTAATACTTACGTTTGCCAGCATTTCCTAATAATGTCAGCAATGGCAGGATCTATATTGTCTGGGATGTCAAGACGGCGATGCTGAAAGCCAACGGCGCCAACAACTTGCATCGGGTTCATTCCTCCCCATGGCTGTTTCATTGTAGAAAGTTCCCATAGTATGACTCCGTAACTATAAACGTCACACCTGAACATAATATATAACCAAAATGATTAAGAATAAGAAGAGGACATCCAAGTGGATTTCTTTTCAAATGACACAAACTTCATTAAATCTTCAACAGAAGTTCAAAATGAAGCCATGTGAAAATCTTACTTTTCATCTGAAGGTTCATTTCTCAACACTTCTGGAGCCATCCACTCAGCCTGAAGGATAACAACACGAAAAATACATCTTTAAAACATGGTTTCACATGGTTGAAAACTTGCAATCAAGATTCCCGGAGTTCTTGTAACAGCCCAAGTCCACCGCTAGCAGATATGGTCCTCTTTGGGTTTTCCCTTTCGGGCTTCCTCTAAAGGTTCTTAAAACGCGTCTACTAAGGAGAGGTTTTCACACCCTCGTAAATAATGCTTCGTTCCCCTCTCCAATCGATGTGGGATCTCACAATCCACCCCCCTTCGAGGCCCAGCGTCCTCGCTGACATTCGTTCCTCTCTCCGATCTATGTGGATTTCACAGTTCTTTTCTTTTCTAAGAAATTTCATCAAGTATATTGAAACAAAAGAAAGAAGTTTGCGTTCGGAAGAATAACGAAGTATAAGTAAATTACTCACTGTTCCCGCTGTCGACCTTGAAGAAAGAAACGTGCTGTGCTTCATTTTTGATAAACCAAAATCGCATACCTAAACGAAAATAATATAGTTAACAGTGGACTATGCCAGAAGTTTATAGCTAGCTTGACAAAAAACCGAGCAATGAAACAAGGACGCCACCTTCACAACCCGATTCCGATCAACAAGAAGATTTGGAGACTTCAAATCACGGTGTACAACAACGGGGGTGCAATTGTGCAAATAATTCATTCCTCGAGCCTGAAAACTATGTCAATTATTAGAAGGTCACTTGACAAAATCCCTGATTTATATGGTCTGAAGATGAAACAGGAATTAACTATATAAACAAAACCGTACTGCATCAAGGGCCATTCTTAATCGCTTTTGCTCGTCTAATTGATTGTTGGGACGGTGTATTAACCTGTACAAGCTACCTCTGCAGTCAAAACACCATTGGACATGTATGAATAGTTTCCACTTTAAGAATTACAATGTTATTGTTGTTTAATGGGAATATGATGTGTTAGTAACATATGTTGGAGAACTGATGTACCTGGGAAGAAATTCTGTAACGATAGAAAGATTGGGAGCACGTGTCACGGCTCCCATGAAGAGAACAACGTTTGGATGCCGAAGCCGTTTCATAATTCGTACCTTTTAGTAGAAATCACAGCCATAAGATACTGAAAAATATAACAATTCCTGGCTATATATACAATAATAACCACAAAGAAGGCAGACTTGAGAACATAACGTGAAACAGCCCAAACCCACTGCTAGCAGATATTGTCCTCTTTCCGCTTTCCCTTTCGCGCTTTCCCTCAAGGTTCTTAAAACGCGTTTGCTAGGGAGAGGTTTCCACACTCTAATAAAGAATGCTTCATTCTCCTCCCCAACCAATGTGGGATCTCACAATCCACCCCCTTCGGGCCCAGCTTCCTTGCTGGCATACCCCCTGGTGTCCACCCCCTACAGGGCTTAGCCTCCTCGCTCGCATATCGCCTGGTGTCTGGCTCTAATACCATTTGTAACAGCCCAATGTCCTCTTTGGGCTTTCCCTTTCGGATTTCCCCTCAAGGTTTTTAAAATGCATCTGCTAGGGAGAGGTTTCCACACTCTAATAAAGAATGTTTCGTTCTCCTCCCCAACCGATGTGGGATCTCACAATCCACCCCCTTCGGGACCCAGTGTCCTCGCTGACACTCGTTCTCTTCTCCAATCGATGTGGACCCCCCAATTTACCCCCCTTAGGGCCCAGCGTCCTTGTTGGCATACCCCCTCGTGTCCACCCCCTACGGGGCTCAGCCTCCTCGCTGGCACATCGCCTGGTGTTTGGCTCTAATACCATTTGTAACAGCCCAATGTCCTCTTTGGGCTTTCCTTTTCAGACCCCTCAAGGTTTTTAAAATGCATCTGCTAGGGAAAGGTTTCAACACCCTTATAAAGAATGTTTCTTTCCCCTCTCCAACCGACGATGGATCTCACAATTCCCCACCTTGTTAGTGTTAAGAGATGCAACATCCCACGTACTCCGTAATCGTTCTTCCTCTTTCTAGAATATAAAATGCATAGATAGATAAACTAACTGAATTCAGACATTGGGGACTAAATTATGAATTAATTAAATATCTAACAACGAATTTTGAACAGCCAAGTTACATCTGGGATTTACACTCTAGAACTCAACGAACTCCTCTCTAGAACAATTGTCTACCCAATATTTTCAATGCTACAATTCATAATCAGAGGACATTGCAAATGTCTTGAAGTAAAAGTAGACGAGGCAGTACCTCACTTTTGAGATCTTCAAGAGATTCACCAGAAATATCCTGGTCTAGAAACCTCTTCACAGCTACCTCCTGCAAAACAGATGGTGGTTATACGGTCTACACCCGGACATGATTAAAAATTAACAAAGAACGGAATACACGAGCAGAGCCCTCCACACGGTTGAGATCTATTATTAACAAGGTTGCATTTTTCAGTTTGTATAAAAGAACTCACAGTTCCATGCCAATCTCCATGATAGACCTCCCCATAAGACCCTGCAGCACAAAGTACTTATAGCTGTCACAAAACTGAACTAAGTTCATATTGGACATGATCAAATTTTGAAAACTTCAATAGAATATCACAAGGTATGGATTAGTAGTTCGGACCAAGTCCAATACGCTCTCCCAAGGAGATATCTTCCCATGGGATCTCGCATTCTGCTACGTCGTCAATGGTAATATCAGATTTTGTGCTTTCATTCCCTGCTGATCTATCAGATATTCGTTCACACTCTGAATTTTCTCCATAAGCGTCCTGCTCCCGATCTCCACTTCCGTGCTGCAAATAAAGAGCGGCATCAGCCTCAACCTGCTCATACTGCTTGTTGACTGCTGCAGTTGTTGCAACCACTGCAGCAGCAGTGGCAGTGGCAGCAGCAGATACAGGAATTTCAAGATTTGCCTCGGTACTCTTGGCTGCAGCTACGACCATTGATGATGCAACAACAGCTGCAGTAGCTGCTGCTGCTGCAGCCACAGGCCTATTTCTCCCGTACTTCACTGGAATTACCTCAAATGGCAAGGCTATAGGCTGTCCAGGTGCTTCTCTTGAATCATGAGAGAGGTTGCGCTCCAGAGGTTTAAGATGCTGTTGTTGGCCATGGGTAGGGCTTGCTTTAGAAAGTAGTCTGGGCTGAGGCAAAGGAGGCAAAAAATTAGCTGAATGAGAAGCTTTCTTATCTGCACTGTTGCAGAGACGAGACACCTTTCCACCTTGATCCTTGTCTTCAGTTGGCGGCTTTGACCCGACAATAACATCTATTTGGTCGGGATATACCCCGGTAAACAAGTTCGGGGGTGCAACTACACCGCTTTCAAGCAACACATCATGAAGCTTCTGAGCCAATCGCGGATTCTCTTTGGCAGCATCAATCATGTATTGCGAAACATCCTTTACTTTCATTCTGCGCACTGCAGGCGAGCTAACACCCTCAGTCCAAGAAGGTGATCTTACGTGCATGCCAGGATAATTTGGTTTGCTAGCAAAATCGTGTGGTAGCCCCTTGTCAACATTGGGAGGATCATATTCCTTTGTGGCACCAAAATCTAGATTTTCCTCTAATGAACTGCCAACCCCACAGCTTGAAAAGCCAGTCTGAGAGGAACCAACATCTCTAGAAAGCAGACCGACTGAAAAGGCGGATTCATCATACTCTATAAGCGATCGAGCAACATCAGCCGGAATAAGTGTACCAGGATCTGCCATTAAATCCACAATGTACTCCCTGGAATTCAAAGGATCAGAATTTCAATACACGATCTCTGACTTTGAAGTTCCCAAATAAATAAGACAAGTAGCTCAATTCTCCAACCTCTGTTTGCAATATGACTCCCACTTCAATAACAAGAGAAATCAAGCAATTAATTAGTTATGCTAGAAGTGTGTATTTGGTTATTACGTCGACTCGTATGTAAGGCTCGTGTACTAGCACAACCTCAGGAGAAAAGAGGCAAAAAAGAAAAACACAGTGACACGAAAACAAAAACAGAAGATTTTTTTAAGAAAACCAGAAGCTCACAGACTCTACTGCAAGATGAAAATGCAATATAATAGCAGCTACCTTCCATCATCAATCTTTACGAAGTTCATTGCTACATCATCAGAACCTGTGTACTGTGGTCCTTTCACCAACCTACAAGGGATGTCCACACCGTCTGCCAAAAGCTAGGTACACGTATAAAATTCAAGTCAGCGAAAGCAAGCCCCGAGCAGCCAGACAAAAAATCTTCAATAGCTAAAGCTCAAAAGCAATCAATAATAACATTAGGAATAAATATGGGGTGGAAGTACCTTGAATAGCAATGCACGATGACGAGCCATCCCAACGGTAAGGGAGCCAAGAGGAAAAACCATACTACCAAGGGTTGCTTTCAAGCTGTAACTAAGATTTCTCCATTTCCTCAACATCTTTTCAGGATCCCCCACTGGTCCACCCATATGATCTGAAACTAAAACAGCAAGCTTCCGCACCAAATAACGATTTACAGAAATTGGAGATTCCGACCTCGTCTTGATGGCAATCTCCAATGCTGTCTGTCCTAGTTTTAGTAAGTTTGCATCAGCAGCTTTGTTGATCAGAACTGCTTCCCAAGTGACACTGTCAGACATTGGTGCTCCTTGCAGATCAACTAGGGAAGGCATTCTTTCTGAGGTGGAATCAGAAAAGACTCCATATAGGTCGTAAAAGCCATCCAAGATCTTGTCATCATAGCTAAGAGAATTGTAATTCTGCGAAGCACACGTAAAGCTACGATATGTGATGGCTTAGATAGGAATATATGTAAAACAAAGTAAAGCACACAATAAGGTACGTTATTGTAAACAATTTCGTACACTAACGGTTGTACGTTTTGCTACGGCCAAACAGAGGTTGGAAAAATAATGAAATGCCTTTTTATGCCATAACAATTCAAATAAGTCTAGCACATTGAACATATTCTTCATTGCCTATGTCATTGTCCAAAAGTAAGATCAATAGGAGTTTCCCCCTTCAAACTCAGAAACTGTCCAACTAATCTCCAGCTAAAACATGTATGACAGAAGAAGACGGATCCTTGAGGCCACCACTCTATCAGCATCCATTTAAGCCCTCTGCAGCCACACCCTTTTCCCCAAGGATAAGAACTCCCAATCCACCGTATGATAGGCCTTCTGAGTTATCTTGAATAGCCACCCACTTTTCTTCAATCCTCCTTTTCCCACGAGTTCATGAGCAACAATACTGAATCCACAAACTATTATCCTCCAATGAATGTGTTCTTGTCAGTCCCATACACTATCAAGGTTATTGTAGCAGTACAAGCCCACCGCTAGCAGGTATTGTCCTTTTTGGACTTTTCCTTTCGGGCTTCCCCTCAAGGCTATAAAACGCGTTTGCTAGGGAGAGGTTTCCACACCCTTATAAACAATACTTTGTTTTGGTCTCCAACTAGTGGGATCTCACAATCCACCCCCTTTCGAATCCCAACGTCCTCGCTGGCACTTGTTCCCCTCTCCAACCGATGTGGGATCTCACAGTCCACCCCCCTTAGGGGCCTAGCATCCTCGCTAGCACACCATTCTGTGACTGGATCTGATACAATTTGTAATAGCTCAAGCCCACTGCTAGCAGATATTGTTCGTTTTGGCCCGTTACGCATCGCCATCAACCTCACGGTTTTAAAACGTGTCTGCTAGGGAGAGGTTTCCACAAGAATGTTTCGTTCCCGTCTCCAACCGATGTGGGATCTCACAATCCACCCCCTTTGAGGCCGGGCGTCCTCGCTGACACTTGTTCCCCTCTCCAACCAATGTGGAATCTCACATAAACAAAGTTCTAAGTCATTGATTTTAAGCATCTCAATTAACAACCAGAAAACTAATATTTAATATGGCTTTATGTCTAAGAGATATTATAAAATTGAAGTCAATCAAAGGACAATTGCTTTGGAATTATGATATGAAAGTAAGAAGTATAGCAGGAGAACAGAATGTAGGAGTCAACTACATTAAATCAGATCATGAACAGAGAAAACTTACCCAATATCTAAAGGCAATAACTTCAGCTGGAGTGTTAGCAGGATCACACGACCCCAAACTGATCTGCTTCACAGCCTCAATCTGAGCCGCCTCAGGATCCTCTCTGGCACTCATTTCCAAAGCAAGCTGTATCTGATTCTCTTCCTCTATATCATGATCCCTCGAATTACTCAACCTCGAATCACGCCTTGATGTATCCACTGCAGCCTCTCTGCTAGACATTGAAACAGATGGCTCCATTATCTCCCCTGCAGTAGGATCCGAAGATGATGTCGGGCTGGTGCAACGCCTGTTTGTAACAGAGTTCAACCAACCGGATATCCCCGAGAAGGGTTCATGCTCAGAATTAAAATAGGTCGGTCGAGAGCGAGATAGCAGCTTATCAGACGATGAAACCTCAATTAATTTACTGCGCCTTGATGAAGTAGACCCTTCTGCTTTATCCTCTGACTGACCACTGGACATGATATGGAACTTCTTGAGAAGGTTCTTCATATTATCTTTACCAAGTCGAAAAGGCGAACGCTAGTGTAACAATCCGGCCATAACCCTCTCCATTGCCTTAGAATTAGCATCAAACACCAATCTCAGGGTCACCACAAGAAGTCTTTGGAAGCTCAAATCAGTAAAGGAAAGCCCCTTGTGAGACCATCATGTCAAGCATAGATTTCAAGCGCTTCAAAGCCAAACAGAGGAATTATCGACTGATCCAGCTGCTTGAATAGAACAACAACTCCCTACTTTAGATGAACAAACAAGACGCTCCAAACTCGAATTCAAGACTGAAACAGATACTAAATCAAAGAAACCATACACACACAACAGCAGCAATATAGATATCGAAATTTCAATAGTATTACCGCCAGATAACAGAATCAGAATGTGAGTAATGAATGAAAATCCCGACAAACATATCTTAATTCAGAGTGAAAAGGGTCATTAAAAAGAGGTAAAAGAGATTGAATAAAGGGCATGAGAAGGCACCATCGGAAACAAGCAAGTGGGTTAGAGTAGGACCTTAAGGATTTCGCGGCCCCAGAAAAAAGGCTCAGTTGCTAGGAATCACGACCCATCCCGATCTCTTCTTGGAGTCCAAAATCCCAATTGTGAAGCACTGAGTTGGAAAATTATGGAGTCCACATCAATGGAATACAAAGGTGAACAAGTTGGGGAACCAGTCTGCTGAAATCCACTTTACACTGTTTCAAGCAAAAGGGGCATCGACCCTTCCAATCTTTTTTCAATCAGCGCGGCAAGAAACTGTTGGGATTGGACAGTGTTAACAGTTTCGCGCACCCTTTTAGCTCAACAGAGAGAAGAATAAAGAAGAAAGCAGTGGGTGTAGCAGGCTTAGCCAGTGGCAACACTATCACTCATTTTCCCTATTTAAACTATGATTTGGCCTTTATTCTCTTTTGCCCTGTTCAGTTTATTCCCTCCTCTGTGTGACAGAATTAAGAAACAAACATTTACAAGTTGCGTTTCAATTCCATGTGGATATTTAATCGGTGGGTCACCAAAAAGTTTCATTATCAAAATTGATGACTTTTAATCGTGAAAATGGTTGAGAATGATTGGAATGAGTAAATATGGGCTAATTTAGAAAATGATCGAGTAATACATCTCCATTTGTAAGACCTGTAGGAGGCTAGTGACTTACGTATTGAACAAATGGTGTATTTTGTTCGAGGACTCCAAACAAAGAGTCGGGCCTTGATTAAATATGGAGAGACTGTAGAACTTCAAAGGGGTAGTCAAAAGTGAATTGGCATGACTCGAATTTCAGAGAAGGACCCTCAAAAGTGGAGTCAAAAGTGACTATTCGAGGACTCCAGAGAAGGAGTCGAACCTCGATTAATTAAGGAGGGCTGTATTATAGAAGCCTCAAAGGCGGAGTCAAAAGTGACTTGGCATGACTCGGACTTTAGAGAAGGATCCTCAAAAGTGTAGTCAAAAGTGACTCGTCTTTGTAGTTAGAATTTAGTGGATACGAGAGTAAAATATACCAAACAAAAAAAAAAGAAAAAAAAAATATATATATATATATATATATATCAACCCACGCGTCTTTACTTTTTGTGAAACGATTTATACACGACTGCGAGTGGGGAACACTTCACAAATTTTTGCCTACATCAAAAGGGATCTCAGAGAGAAATTCTTTGAGATAACGAATGAGACGCAGAGAAGCGCGTGTTAGTCAGCCGCGAAAGCACAGCCGCACGTGCAACCCATTTAAATAAATAACTAATAAAGACAAAACTCAAAAGGCGTATATCTTATCTTTACACAATGAATCCACTTTATTAATTATATTTTAATAATTTTGTGAAAAGAAAATCCACCGTACAACTTTTAAGTTAATTTTTTAATTCAAAAGTTAGCTTATGCAATTTGATTTCATATAATATAAAATTGGTGGAAATTAACAAAATGAATTTTTTTTTGAAAAGAATGGCGGGTTGGAGGTTGGAGCCGATTTCAATGGCGGGATCGAGAGAGAGAGAGACAAGAAAACGTAACGAGGAGATTCAGATTGGACCAGACTTCGTAGCGAAGATGATTGGCCACCGAGAGAATCGCGAAAGAGGGAGAACGGAAAATGCTGGAATCGATTGGCGGAGAGCTGAATCAGTACCGTGTAAGGCTACTCCTGGTTTTATTCGGTGAGTGCGATTCTCGTGGTCGATGTTTGTCGTTGGTTTCACCGCCGCACATTTTTTCTTAATTTCTCATTTGAACAATCGATTCGGGCCTCCGACCATATAACACCTAATATTTGGAAATTCAGCGATTGTAACAATGTCAAACATTGCAGGATTAGGGCCTTGAATCCACTTGAATCTCTCAGGCAGACTGCGCTACCATGGATCGCGCCAGTAAGGTTAGCTGGAGCTTCTTCCCCATCTTCCCTTTCCTGTTTCAGACCTGCTGAGTATTTTTAGTCTCAATTTGATTTCCGTCTCTTTAATCATGTGTTTTTATTACTAGAATTGGATTTCTGGTTCTACTAATCCAGTTCAGTTATTCTTCATGTAAATTATTTGGCTTGTTTTACTGCTTTCTTGCATCCAATATATGATCAACCGAGTTTTCAAGAACAACCATTTGGTTATGTATTACTATGCTTTCATGTTTCTGTAATATTACACTATGAGCCAGTTCTTTTATTTATTTATGTTCAATTCTGGGATTCTGGGTATTACAGTTATCAAATGAAGATTTCTCTGTCCATTTAGCTTATTTGACTACTCACCATGTAGATGATGATAAACCCACAAGCCCCTCTTCCTTTTTGTTTCATTTTCTGGTCTGGGTTTTTTTGACGGGAAAAATGCCGCTTATATAGTTGCTCATAATAATAATTTATTATACCTTTTCAAATGATACAAACTTAATTCAGGAGAAGTAATCACTGATTCATAGTATTTCAATTTTAACCATGCACATATGGCAAATGCAACAGGATTAGGCAGATGTTCTATGAGAGTAGTCAAGATGTGTAAAAGCTAATTCGAACACTCATAATTATTGAAAAAATATATATTTTAAACAAGCATAGGCACGGTTTTTTGTCCATTTTTTGCTTTTTGCTATTGAAGATTGTACTGATATGAAAAAAAGGAGATCACAGTAGTATGTATTATAAGGCAACCCAAAGAAGAGCATGTGAAAATCGTAGGTTACATTTTGTGTTTTTTCTTTTATAGTTGAAATAAAGCTTTAATTCAACACTCAAATTCGTTCGCCGTAATCATTATTACTGGGATCTCTTCCACCCTCCTTAGGATGTTAGTGTGGAATCCTATTTGCATATTATGATTTTGCGTTGGACATCAAACAAACTAGGGAAAAAAAAAAAAAAAAAGAGAGAGAGAGAGAGAGAGAAGGTAAAGATGAAGTAAAAGAGAACTTTTAGGCATTCATGTGTCTTTTCCAGTTTTAGTTTTTCACTGCTGCTGACAATGGTTCTGCAGGGCGAGAAGCACTCAGAATTTTTCACAGAGTATGGAGAAGGAAGCCGATACCATATTCAGGAAGTGATTGGGAAAGGAAGCTACGGAATTGTTGGTTCTGCAATTGACACCCAAACTGGTGAAAGGGTTGCTATCAAGAAAATTCATGATGTTTTTGAGCATGTATCTGATGCCATACGCATCCTAAGAGAAATTAAGCTCCTCCGGATGCTCCATCATCCGAACATTGTAGAGATAAAACATATCATGCTTCCCCCCTCACAGCGAGAATTTAAAGATATTTATCTTGTTTTTGAGTTGATGAAGACTGATCTTCACCACGTAATTAAGGAAAATAATGATCTTTCTGCCAAGCAGCATAAATTTTTCTTGTACCAGCTTCTTAGTGGCCTAAAATATATACATGCCGGTTGGTGCTCTTACTGATACAATTGGCTTTGTCACCTCAAATTATTCTTAACTAAGCCATTAATTTCCTTTATTATTATGCAGCAAATGTTCTTCATCGAGATTTGAAGCCAAAAAACATACTTGCTAATACTGACTGCAGACTGAAGATATGTGATTTTGGACTAGCTCGAGTATCTTTTAGTGACGCGCCATCTACTATTTTCTGGACAGTAAGGTTTTCTTCCTTCCTTTCTTTGGTTATGAAAATCATGACATTCAACTCATTTGTCAAGTTCGTTTTTTCCTTGGGTTTATTCTCGACTTTTGTGAAGGATTATGTTGCAACTCGCTGGTATCGGGCTCCCGAACTCTGTGGATCATTTTTCTCGAGAGTAAGCAACTTTACATCTTCAAGAGATCACATTTAATTATTCAATTACCAGCTGTTGAGTGGTTGAGTACAGAGTCCTTAAAGCTTAGGAATATTTGATTCTCGAGATTACATGGACGTGCAAAATATTTTTCTGATGTACTAATTCAAATGATTCCAAAATCATTGTATTGCTCATTTTTATACACACCTACGTTTATTATATTATACTTGTATCCTCCTTCAATATCCCATTAACAACATGTGACCATAGTAGTACTTTGAGAGGGCATTGTAATTAGATTATTTCCTAAATGCCCATTGCAAGAAGAACGTGGGCAAATCTTTCTAGGGTAGAATTAAAATGACTGCTATGTGATATGTCAAATTTTGACGGATTAATTTTATTTTATTTTCTCAGTATACCCCTGCTATAGATATTTGGAGTATCGGATGCATATTTGCAGAAATGCTTTCGGGAAAACCTTTGTTTCCTGGAAAAAATGTGGCTCACCAGTTAGATTTAATTACCGATCTGTTTGGAACTCCTGATGCTGAATCCGTAGCGAAGGTTGGTTGACTCAGTTATTTATTTGTTTTACTGGGGTAATGAGATAAACTGACAATTATTATACCAGTTTACGAATTTCCGTAGTTTCAAAGCATGAAACATATGAATAATTCACGATTTTAGGTTCATGCATCAAAGTTATGTTAGAAGAATCATTCAAATTTACTCACCTCTGAAACCTTCTCATTTGCACCCTTTTGTATTTTTAATCTATTTCAAGATTCGGAATGAAAAGGCAAGAAGGTACCTGGGAAACATGCGTAAGAAAACACCAGTTCCATTCTCACGAAAGTTTCCTAATGCCGACCCATTGGCACTCCGTTTACTGGAACGCCTCCTGGCATTTGATCCCAAACGTCGTCTAACTGCTGCAGAGGTAAGTGGAATCTGCCGACCAATTTTATTTCCCTTGTAAAATCCTTTTAAAAATCTTGGTAATTATGTATATCTGCGTGTACTGAATCCAATTTCAGGCACTTACGGATTCCTACTTCAATGATATGACGAAAGCAGAAATTGAACCTTCTATTCAACCAATTTCAAAGCTTGAGTTTGACTTTGAGAGAAAGAGATTAACAAAAGATGATGTTAGAGAGTTAATTTATGCAGAGGTATGTAGCCTAGCAACTTGAAACGTGCTGTTTTAACAGTAATTTATATTAAGTATTATATATATAAGAAGAGTTTTTACCTTCACGATGAAAATCTGAAATTTTGATTGATGAAGTTTTTGTCTAAGTTTTGGAGATGAAGGTTGCCCGCCAAAATTATGGGCGATCAAATTTAATTAAGAATGTAATGAATTTCTTGGATGAAGTCTACAGATTTTAGAGTATCATCCCGAAATGCGTCAGGAGGGCCTACACGATGGAGGTCAATCTACCTTTATCTATCCAAGGTAGTGGCTCTACAATTGAATATTAACATCTTTTAGAGTTCAATTAGTTATGGAATGGGCCTATGTCATAAAGTAAACAATCTTTCTTTTGCATATTGATTTTCTATCAATCTAGTCCACATTACATGTTATGATGATACAAATGGTTGATCCAAGATAAAAGTAATATTTGCTTGATTCATCAGTTAATAATCCATTTCTTCCTCTTGCACATGTCAGTGGTGTTGATCGATTTAAACTTCAGTTTGCGCATCTGGAAGAGAACTTCAGTAAAGGTCAAAGAAGTGCTCCACTTCAAAGGCAGAACGTTTCCTTACCTCGGTAATAATTCGAATAGAAATTTGGTTGTTCTCTTCAAGTCAATGATACAATTTTAAGAAGCCACATGATCAAATAACTAATAAGCATTGTCTATATCCTTTTCCTCTGTTCTCCTTCTGGACAAAGGATTGATGGTCTGTGGCAGTATATTATAATTTTAAGATCTTGTGTCGAGAAATATGGTATCAGAATGATAATTTATTTCCTGTACGAGGGTAAGTTATGAAATTCTGCACCTGAGCACAAGAACGCTGAGCATAACAATGAACGCTGAGCACAAGAACGCTCAGAAGGTTGATTTGTACGCATTGATTTGCAGTAAATACTTCATTTCCATCTAAATTTATCATATATCATATTTTCAGGGAGCGGGTTACTCCACCTGAGCACAAGAACGCAGAGCATAACAATGAATTTGGAAGGTAGGTTTTCACTTCTTCTTTGCTATGGCTTCCAAAATTGTTTCTGGAAATATAAACTCAAATGCACAAAATGAACGCAGGGGGGAAGAGAAGAGTGCCCACCTCTTCAAAAGTGCTAGCATTAGTGCATCGAGGTGTGTAGGGGTAATACCGAAGGAGAAGTCTGAGGTAATAAATAGTATCCCTATTCCTTGTTCCTTCGTATGAATCACTCATCTTGCTAGAATTTTGATGCATTAGATGTGATCGGTTCAAAGTTTAAAACAGATACGAGGGATATGTTATATTTAGACATCTCGGCCATATATTCAAATCATTTTGGATGACAATGATAAACTCTTAGCTCGTGTGTATATATATATATATATGGTTCTGTGATCATATGTCCTATCAGAGATAAAAGAGATACATTTGAAATCTGTCTTATATATTTCTAAGCCTTTTTTGCATAGATGTAGAGCTTAAGTCACTTAGCTCATGAGATAGAATTGTTTAGCATAGGGTTAGGAAATCAAATCTAAATTTGTTATGTTAGTATGCTTATAGAAAGAAATAAGTTAAGCTCCATAAATCCAATTTACATGAACCCTAGTTATAATAAACCAACTTATTAAAAGTATGACTCAAATCTCTCTTGAAGTATGAAAGTGAAAATGAAAAAGTAAGTACTAAAAGGAAACGTACATCAGTACCAAAGTTCTCTCTTTTGATGCAACTTTTATGCATTTATAAATCTTCACAGGAGGAAGAAACGAGTTCTGAGGTGAAAAGTGAAGCAGTTGATGAATCGACTCAAAAGATTGCAGTCCTTCAGAGTTGACTTCATGTTCATATATTTAGCTGCTAAAGACAGGAGGCAGAAGGTGAGATCTGGTCACCATTTCCCTGGGAGAAAAAGTGCTCGATGAGGCAAATTTCACTTTGGTCCCTTAAGTTTAATGAACGAACAAGAAGAGTATGATTTTGTCCCTCATCTTTGAACTATTGAAATATAGAGGAAATACACCCCTTTTCTTGTAAATAATATGCAAAAGTTTGTTCCATCCAAGTAGAAAGTACTTTCTGAATTTTTGTTTGCCAAATATGTGTTAATACACCCTAACACTCATTTTAGAAAGAGAACTAGATTTTTTTTTCTTATTATCTCGTATTTAGACTCGTCTATATGCAACTTCATTAAATTGACGGGATACCACTATTTAGTCCAATAACATTTGATTGTCATAAAATTTGTAATGAGACGTTTGAGCGTCTCTTTTCTCATAGGCTCAAAAGCTACTATGCTTGGAAATCTTCTATCTTCTCGAGAGTTTCATTTACACATTTTCCAAAGTATTTCTAAATTGTTTCCAAATGAAGAGGTTTAAAAGAGCATTTGTAAGCTCATTAAAACTTGGTACTAAAAATAAAATGTAACTGTTAGGAAGAAGAAATTGCCAAGAATTTTCTACTACCAACCCTCTTACTTGCTTTCCAACATTCTGAGATCATCAGCATAGAAAAAAATGCTCCTTATATATCTGTATCTATATATATCTATATGTGTGTATATATATAATTATAGGCTTCCAACTTGCTGTCCAAGGGATTATTTGGTTGCATTCTTTGTTATGGCTGTATCATTGGGAAAAACTTCATAAAATTAGAGCCACCACTTTTTGAACTTTATATATTTTAATGTTATTTTGGCCTTTTGGGCGAATTCTCAACTCATTAGGGTAGGATACAACCACTTCAAAAGAAAGGTCTCTCCTAAAAACAATTAGAGTCGGGAGATTTCACCTACCCACCTAATCTTCGAAGGTTCAAACTGTTTAGGTGATTCAAGCATGAGTCGAGAGAGAAATAAGAGGAACTATAGATCAAGAAAGTCATATTAGCTATACTCGACCAAATACACATTTTTTTTAATCACTGGGTAGAGACTCAAAGCTAGTTCGGCTGAAAATTTTGTAGAAGAATCGGTTTGATTAATCTTTTAAATTGATGTTGATAGAATATAATATTTGGGGAAATTTTGAAAATTCAAACAGTGCAATGTTACTAAGTTTATTCAGAAGGTTAGGCAACCCTGGTAGGGCCAATGACACTCAAATTTCAAATGGAGTAGATGCAATATACTTGCAATATTGGACCATTTGAATTTTCTAATGCAATATTTCAACATTCATGAACAGGAAAAATAATAATATAATCATACATAAAACTTTTGTCGAGTAGAACACATCTCCCCAAAGAACGAAAAGAACGTGTTAAATCAAAATTATTCCACTAAATTAAATTATATAGGGCGTTAGCTTCAATCATCTATTCTCATGGGACAACTAGACTCTACTACATTTGACAGATCCATCTTTAAAAGAGTCAATATAACGACCTTCATAGTTTTCGTAGGCCTAGTCTGGCTTGAAGCGCCCTATACTAGCGATTCATGGATCCTCATTAATCTCGATGTGTCTACCGTCCCCGAGCCTCCATCTGTAACAAAGTGGTCTGAAGCTGCTCATTTCTTAGATAACCTTAACATTATCACTTTACAAACAAGATAAACTCATACCAACCCAATTCAATTTTGGGTCTTGATTTTTCACACTAATAATCAAGTTCTTTGATTGAAATGGCAAGAGGATATCTAGGAAGTTGACAAATTAAACAAAACTATATGGAACTTTATGCAAAGCTTGTAAATAGGATGATAATTTCATGTAAAATGCAATAAGAATCAATAATATTTCAGTAGCCAAACACCTAATCTTCATATCAATAATTAAACAACCAATTGACATTGCCCATACGATATCAGCAGCAATTAACCCCACTTACACACCAACCCCCACAACTTTAAAAGGATTCACAAACTGTGCCAAATGACAGCACAATTTGAGTTCAAAGTGAGCAAAAAGTGCAACTTTGTGTAGTATATAGATTGTTAGCTAACTTGATGACAATGGGGAGCCTCAGCCAGCAATGTGGGATGTTGCTGATATTCATAAGCATCTTCCTAGCTGGTTTTGTGTCATTTAGCTTTGCTTCTCCTGTCATTAAACGCTTTGAGTTTAATGTAAGCTCGATGAAGAAAGCGTCTTTTTTGTTTTTTTTTTTTTGGCTCTAAAAACATATGAACATCCTGGTGGTTATTGACATTACTCTGCCATTTCAACTCAAAAGTGTGATGATTTTGTTTCCTATAAGGTGGAGTGGAAGAAGGTGAGAAGGTTGGGCCATACAAAGCAACTTCTAACTGTGAATGGACAGTATCCAGGGCCAACCATTGCAGTTCATGAAGGTGATACTGTTCGAATCAAGGTCAACAATTGCATGAATGAAAATACAACCATTCATTGGTAAGTTTCAAACATGCTATACGCTCTAAATATAGAACAAAGCATTCTTTGCCAAACAACATTACACATTTAGAACTCAATTTTGGCTTTTCCCTCCACGAGATGAGCCTATAAATAAGCAAATTTACACATAAAAAAGTTCGACTTTTCAACTCTAAGCTAAACAAGTTCAATCCATAACAAATCTGATGATTTGCAGGCATGGGGTGAAGCAACTAAGAACAGGATGGGCAGATGGTCCAGCTTACATAACACAGTGTCCTATCAGAGCTGGTGAATCATACACATACAAGTTCTCAGTGAATGATCAAAGAGGGACACTATGGTGGCATGCACATTATTCATGGCAACGAGCTTCTGTGCATGGTGCCTTCATCATTTACCCTCGCATGCCTTACCCATTCTCCTCTTCTCCCATTGAAGCTGAGATTCCTATTCTCTTTGGTAAGTCTCGCTCGTCTTGAGTGAGTTTGGGATGACTTTAGAAAGAATAAAATATGCTTTTAACCCATTTAAACACTTCTCAAACCAATCAAAATTTGATAGTGACTTGGTTTAATGATCAAAAGTGATTTTAAAAATTCTTAAACAGAGAACATTAGTGTTTCTCCCTAGCTCATAGAAAAAGTGTTTGTTGAGGATTGTTGGAAAATAAGTACCACATCGGCTAATTAAAGGGTTGATCATGCGTTTATAAGTAAGAAATACATTTCCATTGGTATGAGGCTTTTTGGGGAAACCAAAAGCAAAACCATGAGAGCCTATGCTCAAAGTGGACAATATCATACCATTGTGGAGGTTCGTGGCTTATAATAGGTATCAGAGTCATGCCCTTAACTTAGCCATGTCAATATAATCCTCAAATGTTGAACAAAGAAGTTGTCAACCTCGAAGGAGTAGTCAAAAGTGACTCAAGTGTCGAAAAAAGGATGTACTTTGTTCGAGGGCTCCAAAGAAGAAGTCGAGCCTCGATTAAGGGGACGAAGGTGTAGTCAAAAGTGACTCAAGTGTCGAACAAAAGGTGTACTTTGTTCGAGAGCTCTAGAGAAAGATTCATGGTTTTTAACAGTGTTTTCATTTAAAAGTTTCTCTTTCGAATAATCATTCCAAACCAATCCTTCATTGTTTCAGTACTTTTAGATGCTTTGGTTTGATGATTTTTCCTAAAAGTTCATGATCTATGATCTGTGATGATTAGTTCTTCAGTTTTTACTTCACATACACAGGTGAATGGTGGAATGGAGATGTGGAAGAAGTTGAAAACGAGATGTTGAAACATGGAGGAGGGCCTAACGTTTCTGATGCCTACACCATAAATGGCTTACCAGGACCTCTATATCCTTCCTCTACCATAGGTAAATCCAACACTTTCACTACCAAAACTTCTCATTTCTAAACATAATTTCCAATCATCACAACAATCAATCAATGCAGACACATTCATTTCAACAGTAGAAAGGGGGAAAACTTACCTGCTGAGAGTCATCAATGCAGCACTCAACAATGAACTTTTCTTCGCCATAGCCAATCACACATTGACAGTGGTGGAAGTTGATGCTGCATACACAAAGCCCTTCAATACCACAGCCATTATGATAGCTCCTGGCCAAACCACCACTCTCCTGCTCAATACAGATCAAGTTCCAGAGCACTCTCAAATGTTCCCAATGACTATCACACCCTATGTAACTTCAATTTTCCCCTTCAACAATTCCACCTCCATTGGCTTCTTGAGATACAACAGCACAAAAATCAAGAAATTTAGCTCAAAAGTACCTGAAAACCTCCCAGAAATGAAGGATACTGCGTTTGCTACGGCATTTTTGAACAAACTCCGCAGCCTTGGATCTCCTATGTACCCATGTAATGTTCCTAAAACAGTTCATAAAAGAGTTGTCATAACTATAAGCCTCAACCTTCAAGATTGCCCATCTGGGAAATCTTGCCAGGGTTTGAACGGGAAGAGCTTCTTTGCTTCTATGAACAATCAATCCTTCGTTCGTCCGGCTTTGTCCATATTGGAATCTCATTACAGGAACACGGCTACTAAGACCTACTCTTCGGATTTTCCAGAAAAACCTCCGAAGGTTTATGATTACACGGGTGTGAACCCATTGACGTACAACATGAACGCAAAATTTGGAACTAGGGTTTTGGAAGTTGCATACGGGACAGATTTGGAAATCGTGTTTCAGGGGACAAGTTTTTTGAATGTGGAGAATCATCCAATTCATGTCCATGGGCACAATTTCTTCGTCGTCGGCAGAGGATTTGGGAATTTCAATGTGGCCAGGGATCCGGCGAAGTATAATCTCGTCGATCCGCCGGAGAGAAACACAGTAGCGGTGTCGACCGGAGGCTGGGCGGCCATCAGAATCAGGGCGAACAATCCAGGAGCTTGGTTCATACATTGTCATCTTGAAGGACATACCTCTTGGGGTCTTGCAATGGGACTCATCGTTCGAAATGGAGTCGGCGAATCAAAATCTCTGCTTCCTCCTCCTAAGGATCTTCCTCTCTGCTAGAACAATTCACGAACTTATTAGATTTAACTTATATAAAATATTTTTAAAAATTCAAGAATTAAATAAATAATTCTAAAAGTTTAAGAACTTTTTGATATTCATCCTACGCATTCTTCTCAAACTTTTTGGGATATGGTTTGATGTAGTTTGTAGCAGAACGAGTAGTACACACTATTTTCGAGTTTCAGATCTATCACT